GCCCACATATACATCTGTCTCCTTTATGTAGTACAGAATTTATACTTCTTAGATCTTGGAGTTTATTCCTCTTTTTCCACCTTAACTGTCTAGAAGTGACAGTTTTATGTCCTGGTCCACTCAGCATGTACTTTGTCAAACTTCTCTTCTGTCTTTTGAGCCAAAAATGGCCTGTAGAGGTGTTTATTTGGCCCCACACACCAATACAAATCTTTAAAATCCATTGCAAAGATTTAAAAACCAAAAGACACTACAAATATATATGGATTTTTGCTTCATTTGAACAATCAGAAGATCTGTGAATCCTGGGTCCACATTCCCCAGAGCACCAGTGTGTAGTAGCGGCCCCCTGGACTGGCCATGTGTTCCCAGGCCACCACCCCCAAAGGTGTTCCTGCCCAAGGCCCCTTTGCCATTTACCATCTCACTTGCTGATTATTTTTGCTTACACCTGGCCCACCTCACTCACATTCTCTGCCTGGCCCCTGGAGCATTTTTTGAGTTAGTGACTCCTGGTTGGGTGGCCATTGCAAATCAGGGGCAGGTTGAAGCAGGGCTTAAACCACTGATGAATCGGGGCCTAGACTGGCCTTCTGCCTCAAGGCTCAGAGTAGAAGTAGATTGATGGTATACTTCAAAGGGAGAAGAGACACTTCTAAGAGTTTTGAAAGAACTGCCGCTACTTGTCTGTATAACATCTATTGTGCCTTTCAAGAGAATTATACGAGGTTTAAATACAATAAATGAAAGTTTCCAGAAATTGATATAAATACTGTGGAAGAATGCTGGTGTGTCTTAAATTTGAATCACCTTAAAGAAGCAATATGAGATTCACACTCTAATATTACTTTGTAAAATAGCTAAAGTGTACTGTATTGTTGTCTTTTATGACTTTTCTATCGGACCCACATAGTAATAAATGTTTGCAGAGGGAAGAAAGAGAGGGAAAAGGAAGCAAATGGCTTAAACACAGAAATTGACTAACTTGTTTTTTTAAATTTAGTTTTTATTTGTAAGTAATTAGAAGTTGCAAAAATAGTACAGAGAGGTCGAGTGTGCCCATTACCTAGATTTCTCCAGTGCTAACATTTTCCATAACCATAGGCCAATTCCCTTTGGTATTCCAGTGGTACGTAGTAGGTGTTCAATAATGTTTATTGAATGAGTGTGTTTGCATATAGAAAATAAATGTTATCATCTGCTGACTTAGAAGGTTGGTCTCTTTATTTTATTACCTTTGAATAGGTAATATATGTGCATGGAGTAAATTCAATAGGTACAAAGTATATACAGAGAAAAGTACGTTTCCCTCCTACCCTGCTTCCCAGACACCAGATAGGAAGGTATTTATTCATTTTTTCTGACAAATGCAACCATTTATTCATTTCTTACGTCTCCTTTCACACATAATTAATGTTTGCAAACTTTCATGTATCTGCTGCCTCCTTGGCCACCCTACCCTGCATTGTAGCAATATCATATGCACACCTTGTTCACTTAGCAGAATGTATTGGAGATAATTTTCTATAAGTTCATAGAGTACTTCTTCATTCTTTTTAATGGCTATTTAATATGTGTTCCATTATATAGTAAATGGGTGTACCAGATTTTTTTAACAAATCCCCTATTGATAGGTGTTTGTTTCCTGTCTTTTATTATTAAAAACAGTACTGCAATGAATATCTGTTTCTATTTTTATGTAGCACAGATACAGTCTCTTTAGGTATTAAGGCATACATTTATGGGTTTGAAATTCCCAAACTTCCCTATTTGATCATATAAATAGAACTTTGGTGGCAGAAAATTTCCTGAAGCTTTGTGTGGTTTTTGGCCTAAGCCGGTGAGATTTGCCAAAGGTCTGGCAGCTTTAATGATGCCGATGCACCTGTTCTCAGTTATTTTCATCTGAACTGTGATAAGTAGAGAAAGGAACAGCAAGCTAAGTTATACTCAGGATGGTGTACTAGGGATGTGCCATGAAAGATAATGAATGGGTATTACTTCTTCCACTCCTATCACTTATCTAGCTCGCTTATCCAGTCCTTGCTGCCAGCCAATGGGTCTCATCTCATATTTGAAGTTATCTTCTGTGTCCTCTAACTGCTCGACAGATTTTGGTGAAGTTTCATTACTGAGTACCTCCATTTCTGAACAGCTTTACACTGCTGAGAGATGGACCACGTTCCTTTTGTGTTGTAAGCAGAGTTTTAAACATTGACACTGGTTTCTGTTTTGACCTTTGTCTGGGTTTTCATTCAGTCCTTGAGGGAAGGATTGTTGCTCTTCTCCACATTGAGAATTTATTTTGGTCCCACGAAGCCCAGTGTTCCTAAGCAGCTGTTAGTTAACAAGCTGCCCCAAATATCTGCAAAATGGAAGGGATACACAACAATGAGCTTATACCCATTCATTTAGTCATTGATTCATGCAACAAATATTTATTGAGCGCCTACTCTGGGCCAGGCAGCCTTGCACTAAGTCCGTGAACAAGACAAGATCCTTGCCATTATAGTCTGTTTTCTGGCATGTGTGTATGTGGGGCGTGGAGGAGAGACAAAAATAAATAAGCAAATTATTTAGTATGTTAGAAAGTGATAAATGCCATGGGGGTTGGGTCACTGGGGGCAAACCAAGGGAGGTTGGGATTTGGGGACAGAGGCACATTGCCATTTTAAATAGAGTAGTCTGGGTAGGCCTTGCTGAGGGTGTAAGAGTTGAACTGATTTCAAAGAGCAAAGAGTATCCTGTGTGTATATATTTGGGTCTGTCTTTGAATTTTTTGAACAACTGTATTAATATATAATTGACATACCATTAAATCCACCATTTTTAAGCACATAATTCAGTGGTTTTTAGTGGATTTACAGTGTTTCACAACCATCAGAATGATCTATTCCAGAATATTTTCATCACCCCCGAAAGAAACTCATTAGCAGTCACTCCCCATTTCTGCCTCCTCCCAGCCCCTGACAGCAACTAAACTATTTTCTGTCTCTGCAGTTTTGCCTATTCTGGACATTGCATATAAATAGAATAATATGCTATGTGTGGACTTGTGACTGGCTTCTCTCATTTAGCATGTTTATAAGGTTCATCTGTGTTGTAGCATGTTATCAGTACTTCATTCCTTGACAAATAATTTTCCATTGTATGGGTATACCACGGTTGCTTATACATTCATCAGCTGATGGTGACCTTGTATTTTAAATATTACAGGGTCATGGATGGGCGGTAGTAATTGACCTTGCTGTGCCATCTAGGAAGAGACTATTGTCAGTGCCTAGTTTCAGTCAGCACTAGTTAGGCTTGGTTCTGGGGAAACTAAAGTCACTATATTCAGAGGCGTTTCCCAGGTGCTTCCCTCTTGAGCAGAAACTGGGTGGTCCAAATGTGGTAATGTGGATCTGCAGATGCTTTCAAAATATTTTGAAACTAAACTATTCTTTCTACTTTAACATGTAGTAAGTTGTTTACCCAAGACAATTCTCCATGAGTTTTGTTTTTTTGTTTGTTTTGTTTCGTCTCTTTAATATTTTGGGTGTGGTAGCAAGTAGAAGCAGATGATCCTAAACAAATATTTGTGTATATCTGAACAAAGCCATTCTGCTGAGGGAATGAAAACTTCACAAAGGAAATGGGAATTGAACTGAATTTTGAAGGAAGGAAAAGGCCTGTTCCAAAGAGGGGCAGAGAATTCAAAGTTTATCTTCTGGGTGACTGGGAATCCCTGGGCTTTGGAGCACGTGTCTTCGGTACATTAATTTTGCAATCACTAGTCTATGCAGAAAGGGTGATAGTTTTGGAATCCTCCCGCCTTCTGCACTGGGCAAGACTCAAACGTTTAGGAACTTCTCTTGAGGGGGTGTCTGAGGTACAGTCTCAGGCTGCAGAAAGATGAACTCCATCAGAATTCAAACGGCTGAAGGGCTTCCTCCACCCCGTCCCTGTTGAGGGTAACTGTCTAAGCGACACCGGTGCAAGAACCGGACACGTCCCGGCACGGCTGAGCTGCAAACAAACGGCCTCTGACAGCCGGGGCCCTTCCGGCTGGATCCTAGAAGTGGGGGTGAGGGTGGAAGGCAGGGAGCGAGGCCCCGCTCTAGGACTGGATTGGGGCGGAGGAGCGGGAACGGACAAGGCTCTGACCCAGCACGGGACTGGGAGGCGTGGGTCCTCCAGAGAGAACACACACCGCCCCACAGCAGGATGCAATCTTGGTTCCCGAGGTACTCCGGCGGCCGGGGGGGATGGATGCCGGCCTCGGGGGCGGAGCGCGAGCGAAGGGGTGGAGCCAGGGTGAGGGGGCGGAGCTAAGATGAGGGGGGCCGAACGAGGGCGATGGGGCGGAGCAAGCTAGCGGG